CGGGTGCAGGTGCGATGGATGTAACAACAATGGTACTTGATTCTTTATGTGCAAGTGCTTGCTGTGTGCTTGTTGATGTTGACAACGATATATCTGCTTGATTCTGAGTTGCATTCGCAGCATTTCCTGCAGGTTGCTGTTGTGCCTTCAGTATTGTCTGTGGCTGTTCAATAATCGGATGTGCTGCACTCGCGCAATCGGCACTCAATTGTGATGTGATATTCGAAGTTGCGTTTGTGTTCGACTGTGCCTCCGCATTCACAGCTACAAATGAAAGTATCCAATTATCATCATTTCATAGTCAACATTTGTCGTTATCTTCAAATTTCATCCCAGTTCGAATCTTTACTCAATATCAGGATAATAACCACATGCTACCCACTGCTCTGCTACTAAGCAACTCATTATATCAGTCCTCCACCAAGAAATAAATTCAACTGCACACAGTTGTCACTAACAATACGAAATAACCATATGTGATATTTTTCTCGAAATCAGCGCAAAAAAACAACTTCGACCTTAGGGCCATCAGTGAGAATATACTCAGACGTATTTGATATGACGATTGGAATCGTTTCTCGAAAGGAACATTATTTCGGCAATCATTTATTGGATTAAATCGATTGAAAGAAAGAACGTTAGAAAAATGAGAAATTCTAACTTGATGGAGCAACGTTCTTCTCAGATTTATCGGTAAAATCAAGAATTTTTTCGGAGACGTCTGGTTTATCGTCCCTATAATCCCAACACTGCCAGCGGCCACGTGTGAATTTGCCCGGTACGGGGACAACCTTAAATCGAACTAATCTCTTCGAAATAATTCGAAAACAACTTGCAAAAGCTATGAGCAATTTCATTATAACTGTGATGACAGTTAAATGAGTATACGAAGAGCAAACGAATTTCAAAGAGTGCATTTCCGTTAAACAAGACAAAAAAATTGGACAACGATTGCTCATTGTCTCGAGAACAGCAAAATCAATCAATCCTGCAGCAAAATTTTCACTAATCTACACTACCACTTTACCTCTCGAGGGTTGGCCAATAATCAATTCTGTGCCAATGAGACCTTACTATAAGGTGATTGCAATCGAAAATTCAATCATTACGCCCTCACCGCAACGAATGCGACTTTGACTACGGAACATGAATAGTACACTGATAGATCTGATCAACGAAATGATCTGATCAATTGCATTATGTTCAAAAATGAGATGCGAGCATAACGCTAACATTTCCAAGCGCTTCAACGTAAACTATGTAGGAAATCAAAAAAAAGGGCAAAGTATTTCCTACCTGAAACTGTCTCTCTCTAGGTTTAGCGGTAGTCATATCCGCAGCTGTATCACTATTTTCGGCGCTTGCTACGCCCATAATTGATAGCAGTTCTCGCCTTCACATAAAACAAGCATCACGCATTCGTTTATTATTCTTTAAGCTGAAACAGTTACATAGATATATTCAGAAAAGAATTCAGGCTCAAAATATTCTGACGGTACGATCGCAAATTACACAATTATTTCGCGCTA